TTGACTGATTCAACGGTTTTTAGCCAGGGACCAGGTTTGGGGTAAAACAGAACCGTTGCCTGGACGGTTCCTAGGCCGAACAGTCCGACCATCCGGGTCAGCAGTAGTTCGAAAACCATGATTTAGTATCATTTATGTTATATAAGCTGGTTTTTGAGAAATCTACTTGAAATCTATTTGATACTAATTTTCAAAGGCTGATTATTTTTGTATTAGAGTTATTATTCAATGCCATGTTGGATGCCATATTATCCTCAAAAAATTGGAATCAGTTAAAAATCAGAAAATCACTAAAAAAAGTGATCCCTAAAAAGGGTTGATTTCAATAATCTATTTTTGACTGATTTCCCAAAAATTAGCATAATCAGCCAATAAAAAAAAAAAAAATCACTAATTCTCCAAATTCTATATGATGCCAATTTCTGAAAAATCATCATCAACGCCAGACATCACCTTTAATATCCTGTGGGAGTTAAAGGACAGTTGCAGAGAAGTCCAACCTTTAAATCACCTGAGTTTGAATTAATCTGCCTTCTCTTGGGGTCAAGAGCACTCGTAGAAGTCCAACCTCTTCCTCTTTTTTTAAGTTTGGAAATTGTTTTCCAACTTCTCTTTTCTTCTTTCAAGGACGATCACAGGTTCAAAATGCATGCATGGAATCAAAATTGATTTTACCGGAGACATGACCAAATCCTTTTGCATGGATTAAAATTCTCCAACTATCTTCAAATTAAAAAACATTTGAATTCGTCTTCACTCCTTCAACTTCAACCTGCTTAATTAATTGAACTCAGAAGAAGATCAAGAAGAATCTTACATTTGTGCCAACGCAACGAATCGTGGGGCTGACGTGGAAAAGGCCACGTCAATCTGGCTAATCTAGAGAGAGCTTCCTAGAAAATGGGTGGTCCAGATCTGCCATGTCATGCATCCTTGTATGTGGAAGAAACCAGTTTCTTTGTGTCGACGATTAGCAATCCCAATGATGAATCGCGCGTAATTCAAGACTTGGGAAACAAGCAATTAATGCAATACTCCAATTCTATGAAAATTGGATTGCCGTTGGTTTTTTTTCCTGACGTAGCGCTGGGGGCCTAGTTGACGAATGTCCACGTTGTGGCATCGACGTGGCAATCTCACCAGCCAATAAGCGCGGGAGATAAATGTCAAACCAGCGTGTGGAGTCTGACTCGTTGAATGGAAAACGAGAGATGTCCGTACTGGTTGAAGGCTTGAAGGTTGAACTTTGAAGCCATTTGGACAAAGACCTATGTATTTTCCATCCTAAATTTTCTTTTCTTTTTTGAGGATGATGACATGACCCACTTCTGGATTTCGTTATCCGGGTCCGGATCCAGGCCCACGTTTTTATACATTGAAAACGACCCTATTAAAATGCCCCTTTGTTCTAAGTTATAACAGAAATCTGACCTCAGATACTCTGTTTCTTGTGATCTGATATAAAATTGTGAACGGGAAAGTGTACATGTATACAAGAAAACAAAGTGGGGTAGAAATGAGCAATGTCACTTCCGTCTCCGTATCACCTGAATTCTGAAATCGGGTTCGAGTGGATGTTCCAACTTGCTAATTTCTTCATGAAATTAAATTATGCTAGAGAGAGAATAGAAAGTTAAAGAAATTTTTTTAATAAAAACTCTCTATTATTTTCTGCCAAACTAAACACAGCCTAAAGGCATTTATTGCAACTACTTGGTGTGGATTCATTTCTTGTCTACATACATTTGCGCTTTTTTTTTCTGTTGTCCTTTTGGGTTGGTTATCAATTATCATTTTTCAAATTTAGATATTTCAACTATTTTTTATATCCTCTATAGAAAACGAAAATAAAAATACATGAATTTTCGTGAAAGTTTGAAAAAAAAAAAGCCTGATCTAACACAGCATTCTTATGCTTAAAACAAGTTCACATTGACAAAGTAATATTTTAGTATATGTATTGCGGCTCTAGATGTTGCACTAAAAGATTAAAATATTAATATATTGTTCAAGTGGATATCAATGTATATCAATATGATCGATATTTTTAATTTTGTAAACATTAGAGGATTCCATCAAGGATTTTAAAGTTTAAGAGTTTTTAAAATTCCTTTGTATGGTGTATTAAAATACACCCATATGATACAAAACACGTGACTTTATTTCCTTTGTGTTTGACTTTCATTGAGGGATTGCAAGGGAGTAAGTGCAACTTTTTACTCACGCTACTCTTATCATCATTGTTTCCATACAAATGATAAGAAAAAACAAAATTTACATTATACAAGATATATAAACAATATAATTCATTTTCATCTATTTCGTATTGGAACAAATGGAGGACAAAACCAGTAAACTGTTGATCCAATCAACTTGTAAGTTTTATATATATGTTTCCTCTAATTCAATAAAATTGGTTGAAATAATAATTAAAAAAATAATAATATATATTTTATTATGCTCTATATGCATTCCCTTCTATTCCCATGATAACAAAACTTTGAAAGACAACTAAAGAAGAAAGGTAACTGATAACTCAACTCTGATGGATATATAAAACTATATGGAGAAGGCAGCAGACAGCAGGAGGCTAGAGATGTGATGACGAGACGAGCGGAGCTGCTCGCGGTATAGAGATAAGGTTTGACAAATGGGGAGGGCTTGTGTGGTTGTGTAGAGATAGTCATTAGTCAAGCCGTACAGAAGATGAATGTAATTAATGAATAAATAAATCAAATAAAATGAAATTTGGCACTTCTTATGTCTATCCTGGTCGGTGTACTCTTCACGCTTTCAAAATTAAAATGAAAAAGAAAAAAAAAAAAAAAACGTGAATATTAAAATGGTACATGTGCAAGTACACCATCACAAGTTCCGTTTATCAACAACAATTTGACATTGAACAAATTAAGTGGTGATTCAACGTTTAAGTTAATGAGAGACACCTGGGATTAATTCTTTAGTCCTGATTGCTGAATCAAATACTAATAATTCTTTAATTAGGATGCATTTATTAATATTTGTTGCATTTATATCTCAATTAATCAAGTTTAAGTCTATTTACCTTTCATTTGTCCAGTCTTGCAAAGTATATTTTCATGCTTTAATAAGATGTAATTACCATTATTAATCAATTATGTCTTTTTATGGTACATTATAATGGATGTATCCTCTATTATTATGAGGGTAATGACACTTAGCTCCCTCAACTTTTACTATATATCCTATACTTTTAGATCCTAATTAATGCTCTACTTTTTCCCGTACCATTCCATTTGAATTTTTGTGATGTCATTTTCTCCTCTTCTTTATTGCATCTCCTATACTCAAGTTTTAAATAATAACCGAGTGGTGGTCAGTTGGTACGTTGGCTGGATAGTTCCAATAGATTTGTGGATAGTTCCAATCTCACTCTTACAACTTACCTCTTGTGAGTTGTTAATATATTGTGTTAAATATATAAAAAAAAAATCAAGTTTTAATTTTGTTCTATCTTATTTCTATTTTTCTTTTTCAGTTATTTAAAAGAGAGTATTTGTCATTAAGGAAGATGAAACTATAAAAGTAGAGTATCTGCCATTAGGCTTTGAAGATGCAATAAAAGAGAGGGAAAATGGTCTCATAAAAGTTATTACTAACGTAATATACTAAATGTCATAGATTCAAAGTACAGTTAGGATAGGTGTCAGCTCAGAATTGATGTTGTACATTATAAAATGGGATTTTTGATATTTTGAATGTTTATAGGCCTGCAATGAAATTCAGAAATCTACATTGGGCCAATTCATACTTTTCCATTTTTTTGATATTCCATGTTACTATTAGTAACTTTCTCCTAACCCCTTTTTTTCTAAAGTACTGGTTGTGAGATTTGATTTAACCTGGAACAAACCAACTAACACAGTGAAAGTAGTGTTGGAATCGGAAGTATAGGATAGTTTTTTATCACATATAATAGTTTGGGAAACTAAGTATCATTGCCCCCTAAAGTGTAGAGTAGATCTCTGTATTTTCTATACAAAAGAAGACCTCTATTAATTTTACCCAAAATTATATTATAGTGAACGGTTTTTCTTGTTATAAATTCCAAAATCAAATTAAAACCATTTGATTTGAATTCAAAACACGGTAATATATATGTTCTGAGTTGTATAATTTTTTTTTTTTGGTTTCTAAAACGGAAACAAATTAAAAAATGTATTTTCAAATTTCTGATTTAAAAAAACATGATATTGTTTTAAACCATAAAATACATCTCATTATCATTCATAAATCATGCATCATCTGTACTCCAGTGTTTATTTTTTGTTCTAAACACCATCCTTTTAGTGGTTTTAAAAACGTGATTTATTTTCTGAAACATAACTAACTCATTTTTGCTACTCCAAAAAAAAAAAAAAAAACATGTTTTTTATTTCCTCTGGTGTAGCAATTTCAGAAACATACTGAGTATTGACATCTTGGTTCATATTTTTAGTTCAAATTGGTGATTGCATGATCACAACACTGATAACACATCCACATTTTTCTATTTGATTTTATTATTTCTCGTTATTACTTCACATTTCATCGTGTTAATGAATTTACAAAGTAAGGGTACTGATCGTTAATATATCAAAACTACATGAATTTACAATTAGATGTTTTTTTAACGGAGAAGTACCAATACAACCGATGCAGAATTCTGAATTCCAGCCCCTTGCCCGTGAATTTGGCATCAATTCACGATAGCATACTGTAATTCTTAGGGTCATTTTGGGCAATTCATATCAATTACCTAATTATGAAAAGAAAAAAATCTATTGCCTAGAACCAGCCGCGGCGCCGTAGTGGCTACGAAATTCACAGGAACCAAACAGGCAAAACCAGTTGGGTTTATGTTAATTGATTTGTCCAATCAATGTCAACGGATGGACTCTCTCTCTCTCTTTTATTACTTTACTTATGAGATAGTCTCTCGTATTCGTATAAAAGCAACCCAACTCACCAAATGGCAATTATTTCAAACTAGGTGATAGGTGAATGAAAAAAAGAAAGACGGAAAACAGAATTCTCAGGAAGGAGAGCTAGAAGCAGAGGAGATGAAGTTGGTTTGGAGTCCCGAAACAGCTTCCAAAGCTTACATCGACACTGTTAAATCAGTAAGCTCTCTTCTCAGTTCAAATCCAGAAAGATTCCTCCCTGTTTCCCCTTCGTCGGTTCTAACGAATGGTTTCCAATTTGATTTGCAGTGCGAAGTCTTCCAAGAATCCAGTGTCGCCGAGCTCGTGTCGGCCATGGCCGGTGGGTGGAACCCGCGGCTAATCGTCGAAGCGTGGCATCGGGAAGGAATCGTGGCGACCAGTGTCGGTCTCGCCGTTGCCAGCCGTCACACAAGCGGGAGACACGTCTGCATCGTGCCAGACGAACGGTCAAGATCCGAATACGTGGATGCCATGCGTGAGGCAGGCATGTCGCCGGAAGTAATCGTGGGGGAGGCGGAAGAAGTGATGGAAGCACTCCCTGGCATCGATTTCCTGGTGGTGGATTGCCGGCGGAAGGACTTCGCCAGGGTTCTGAAGCATGCTAAATTGAGCACCCGGGGTGCAGTCTTGATTTGCAAGAACGCTGGTTCAGAAACTAATTCAGGTTTCAGGTGGCGCAGTGTTCTGGGCGTTGGGTCTCGGGTGGTCCGGTCGGCGTTTCTTCCGGTGGGCAAGGGTGTGGAGATAGCCCATGTAGGAGCTAGTGGTGCAGGCCTCAGTGCACCGAAGGGTAAGAGCCGTTGGATCAGGCATGTCGATCAGGAATCAGGCGAAGAGTATTTGTTCCGGAGATGAAGTTATGCCTCTAATATTTTTCTTTTGCCTGTTTCTATTGTATATATTTAGAACGAAGGAAAGTCTTCAGATTCTATTTGTTCTTTCTTGAGTTCTTCGCTTCTCTGTAATTTCTTCTGAAGGTAGAGGGATGGGAGGTTGCAGTCATATCTGATTGGACTGAATATTTAATGAGAGAGAGAGAGAGCGCGCAAAAATCAGTTTCAGCCAATACTAGAGGAATATAATATATTAATCAAAGCAATATCTTTACCAAAAATCAACTGGCAACCTTTGGGTAAAGCATCATCTTGTTGTTTTCTTGGTGGTTGGTAATCGATGATGTTATCGGCTAGGAACTACTAATTGGTTCTATTATTTTTAACTGCTTTAACTAACCCACTAAATCCACAACTTGCCCATAATTATTATTGTTTGTTAAGCAAGATTCCAGTGATTGCAATTGGGGGAATTATGAACGAGACAATTTGGTGAATCGAGCCCATTTGATACTGATTATGAAGTTCAGATTCAGACCGTGTTTATTTCAAGCCAAACTCATAACAAAGTGGAAGGATTATTTGCACTGTTCTTAATTACCTGAACTGTAGGTCATCCTCATCCTCATCATCAATTATTTGCACTGATCTTAATTACTCGGCTATCTGAATACTATTTCATAAATCTATTTTATTTAAGTCATATATATAGATAAATTATTATTGCTTAAATCATTTTTTTATTTGATACAGTCGATGGTATTTTATACCGTAGGGGGGTGTCAATTGAACTGGGCTGCCCAATCCGATCCAATCCAATGTGAGTTTATTATAAATGGATCAGGTTCAATTCAATCTAATAAATATTTTGGATCGGTTCAATCTATTTGGACCGTTCAATCTATATTCTTATCTTATATCAATGGATTAGATATTGGCTTAATCCAACCCAATTCAATATAAATTTATTATGGATGGACCTAGTCCAATCCAATCTAATAAATATTTTGGATCGGATTGATCCAATCTAATATGCCTTGTTGGTCCATCTAATCTGTCCTAATTGATTTTGGACTGAACGGGTCCAATCCAAAACCAGTCCATTGACACCCTTATTTATGCCATATGCCCAAATCATCTTAGGCTGTATTTGGCATTCTTTATTTTAAAAACATATCTCTTTTTGTATTGAAAATTTCATTGTTCAATCATAGGGGCATTTTAACTGAAAAAAAAAAGAGATAAATCCTTAAAATAAGGAATGCCAAATGCAGCCTAGTCCATCCTCTCTCATTTTACCATGGGTAACATTGGTAAATTAGACCTCTAATATGAGAAGGCAAAAGGTATCTCATGCATGTCATTTTGGACTCAAGATATAATTTTTTTCATCCGATCGCATTTCAACTTTTGGAATATTTAAATGCTATAATATCTCGATCAAGTGCTTAGTCACTTCACTACTCTACTTTTTATTTTCTTTTTAGGGGGCGTTGGAATTTTGAGAGGGGGAAAGTTGGTCAATGGGGATTTTGGTTTCCATTGATCAAGAATTTCATGTTCTTTTTTTATATTTATCTAGAGGCTAGGAAAAGTTTATTTTCCTGGGTATCGGGTAAGTGATACCCATCTCCTAGGTAAGTAAATAACTTTTCCACCTAGGGGAAAGTTGCCAACACTTGAATGGGACAAAAATGCCCTTTTTAATAATGGATTTTTATGGCTAAAATGATCATTGCCTGGGCCTTAGAATGATAATTTGCAAATATATTTGTTAAGATGAATATTAACTTTTAAATTTATTAAATAGGCCTAACTCTAAGTGTTCAATGAGTGGTCCGGAAAATTGATACACATCATACTATATACGCTAGGGCCGTTAATGGACTCCGAAAGTTCGATATTCAATTCCTCTTCAAATCCAATTGTTCCAGATTTGGATGTTAAACCTTGCATCCAATTAATAGTCAGATAAGATGTGGATTTGAACACAATAAGATGTATGGGATTAAATCTGAATCCAATCTGAAATTCGACATAGTAAATCATATGCAGATGTGAATCTAATGATTTCTAATGATGCGTGATTTGAAAGCTCCAAGTTGGAAGGATGTCTGGGCATTGTTCACGCAACGAGTTGGACCAAGCTACAAAACAAAGATCAAAGAGACCAAGATGGATGACCCGGGGAGGTCACTCCGATGCTTAAGTTAGTATCTTTGTTGTGGTTGTGAGCTGAAAGATTGAATGCTAGAGAGCTTGTGTGTAAAGAATTGCGCGTACCTAGGCCCTAGAGGGGTTGATGTCCTTATATAGTTGAGTTGTTGTGGGTCTCACAAAATGATTCCAGGATCCTCAGCTTGAGTAGATGAGATCCGTTTCCACTTTAGACAAGGACTAACGTACCAGTCAATAAAGTTTACCGTTACCGCCCGATCCGGGCAGGGAGAGGATAAGGCATGCCATTACGCGGTGTGATCTCGGGAGGTTTAGAGTCCGCTAACAAGCTTTTGGAGTTGATTATGTGTCACTTCGGTTCCGAGGCCTCGAACTGGCTTAGGTGTCGAGGTGACTCTGTTCCGAGGTGACTCTATGTCGAGGTGACTCTATGCCGAGGTGGCTTTGTGTCGAGGTGCCCGAACACCCGGGATCCCAAATCGCTGACTAGGCTCCCCTTGCCTAGTTGCCATCCTGCTAGAAAATTGCGTCCATGTGACCTTTACTTACTAGGTCGTGCCAAATTACCCCTCATCAATTGCCCCCCAATCCTCATGCCAGGGGTCCTGACCCAGCGCGGGGAGTTCATGATGAGCCTAGGTGGATTTGGCATGATGTCTAGGTGGTACGGAGAGTGGACCTTCGGTTGGACCTATTCGACCAATTGGCTCGCCCAAAAAATGACCCTAACACCGGGGTGAACAGACATTGTAGGATAAACGCCCTACCTGTCTATGCACGGGCTACTTTGCCTTACCCATGCCAAAGCGACTGGTTTTTCAGTTGCCCATGCCAAAGCGACTAGGTCTTAACGAGCCCGTGCCGAAGAGGCGACTGGGTCTTAGGCTGCCTATGTCGAAGAGGCGATTAGGACTTCTCTGCCCATGCCAGAGAGGCGATTGGGTCTTATATAATGCTGAGGTCTCTTGTTAGCTTGGCACCATTGCCCTTAGGCTTTTGGGAGTGACTTAAGGTCCTCTCTCCAGTTCGTCGTCTTTAGGATCAGCTCGATGATCCTGTGGACTTAGTCATTTTTTCAATTGCGTTGAGGTTTCAGAGATAGTATCTCCTTAGGTTGTCAGCGTTCCAAGCTTAAGGTACCTATTTTCCTTCCATGGTCTCGAGCTCATAGGTTCATTCTCCGAACACCCGTCTCACCCGTTATGGACCTTCCCAATTCAAACCGAGATTACCCACGCCGGGCTCAGGTACTATTACCTTATAGAGGACTCGGTTGCCGACTCGGAATAGTCGATTCCTGACCCGGGCATCATAATATTGAGCTACTCATTGTTGGTAAGACGCAATTCGAATGTGGGCCAGATCGCGTACCTCCTCAACGAGGTCCAAGTTAGTTCTGAGCTCATCGTCGTTCGCCTCTTCATTGTAAGCTTCGAGCCACAGCGTCGGTACTTCAATCTCTATTAGGATATAGGCTTCCGTCCTGTATGTGAGTTGAAGGGTGTGTTTCGCCAGTCACGGTCTTGATGGTAGTCTGGTAGGCCTAAAGGACACTAGGCAGCTCGTCCACCCACAACCCTTTAACTTGCACAAGGCGAGCTTTTAGTCCGTAGAGGATAGCCCTGTTCGTCACTTCAGCTTGTCCGTTTGCTTGTGGATGTGCTATTGAAGTGAAATTTTGTTGGATCCCCATCTTGGTGCACCAGTTCTGGAATTTGATGTCCTCGAATTGCTTTTTGTTATCCGAGATCATGACTTTGGGAAGTCCGAAATGACACACGATGTTTTTCCAAAAGAAATTTTGCACATTCTAGGTTGTAATGCTTACCAACGGTTCGGCTTCCACCCACTTCGTGAAGTAGTCCACTGCCACGACCAAGAACTTCCTCTGCCCGGTTGCCGACGGAAATGGACCGAGGATGTTGATTCCCCACCGTGCAAAGAGCCACGGGCTAGTCAGATACTTCAAATCGGTAGTAGGTTGATGGAAGATGTTAGCATGCCTTTGACATCTGTTGCATTTCTTAACGAGTTTGAGTGTGTCTGCCTTCATAGTGGGTCAATAGTAGCCCTGCATTAATGCTTTTTGGGCAAGCGCTCTACCCTCCAAGTGTCCTCCACATAATCCTTCATGGATATCACGAAGTACGAACTCTGCTTTGAGGGTCGCAGGCAACGTAGGTAGGGGAGCATAAAGGATCTCTTGTACAGTCGTCTATCAATAAGGACATACTGAGCTGATTGATGCTCTACCCTCCTAATTGCATTGTGTTCTGTAGGTAGGGTCCTGTGGAGCAAATAATCAATGAGCGGGTCAATTCAGCTCAGTTCCGCTTGTAACATGGGAGTGACCTCTTCTGCCCCCTAGAGAATGCTGGGCCGGGGCAGGTCTTCTATGTACACAGTTCGCATGGTGTTGTCACTGGTACTTGCTAGTCGTGACAAGGCGTTGGCCTCAACATTCTCGGACCTCGGTATTTGCTTGATGAAACAAGAGCTGAAACTCGGTAGGATTTCCCTGACTTTAACTAGGTAGGCCACCATAGTTGAGTTGTGTGCTTCGTAGTCGCCAGTTGAGAATCGCAGCACACGATGAGATGTTTTGTCCCCATTTCTTTCGCTAAGTTTAGCCCGACAATTAGTACTTCATACTCTGCCTCGAATCCGAACCAGAGAGCATACTCCAGCTTCACCTCGCTCAGGCCATACAGTACCAGTCCTGCACCGCTTCCTCGTTGGTTGGACGAGCCATCTACGTGGAGGATCTAGGGCTCCTCGTCCCTGGTCGGTATTGATCTGATCGGGACCAGTGCCACACTGGTTAAAGCCTCTAACACGCTAGCGGGCTTAGTTAGTTCAGGGGCCATTGTGCTGAATGTGCATTCTGCTACGAAGTCCGCCAAGACTTGGGCTTTGATCATTGGCCGTGGCTCGAACCGGATGTCATAATCGCTAAGCTTGATGGACCACTTCGTCAATCTCCCTGATACC